AAAATCTTGCCTTCAAAATAACCTATAAATTTTGCTTTTATAGACAGACCTTCCCAGGTGCAAGGTCTAAAATCGGAAAGAAAAATTATCCCTACCAACTGTGTAAGAGCAGCAAAAAGCCAGAAGATATTAAAAAAAAAAAAATCATAAAAAGAAGTGTAAAGTGAATTTTCAACAGAAAACTGATACACATTGAAATGTTCTGAAACAGTTACATGGGGGGGGGGGGAAACTATTATCATGAAAAAATATGAAAGCCAAATGAAATTAATTTTCAAATAATTATAGCAGCATTTTGTTTTTCCCTAAGTGTTTCGGAAACTGTGTTTTACAACATTTATCTTCTTTACTTTTCATAATCACAATATCAATAATCACCAAAATGGGAAGTAATGCCACATTAAAATATGGCGGAAGAAAATAAAAAATGTTTATTTTAATACTATTTCTTAAATACAATTTTAATAGATTATCATTATTTTTATATTTACCAATGTTATTATTGTTTGTAAAAAAAATCGTCAAAAAATTCGCATATCTCCGAATAAAAAAATTTATACATAAACGGATCTTGAAATCGCCAAATTTAGGCGCAGCGTCATAAAACAACTCATATCCCCAAAAAGAAAAAGTTGTTTTTCATGTAATATTTTATGGCCGCTTCATTCGCAAAAGAAGAAATTATTTCGAAATGTTTGTTTCAATAAAGGCAGGGTCTCTTGCTGAAAACTCGAGTATCTACCATTTGTTTATATTAAAACACAGGAAAGAATTCAAACGTCAACCCATCAAACGCATCGCTAAAAGTCAATACATCGCTAAAAATATTTCTGCAAAATGTTTCACACTCAAAATACAATTGTTAAAAAACAGACAAGAAATATCAGATGAGTAAAATTGCGGAACTTTGCCGGTTTTGTCCGAAATTAAGCACTCTTCAGCAGTGGCGTAGCGAGCATAACTGGCGCCCGGGGCAAAATACCATTTTGGCGCCCCCCCTCTCCCGAAAAAAACACAGTGATATGATGAAAATCTTGTTTGGAGACCATTTGGCGCCCCTCTGCGAGCGGCGCCCGGGGCATCATACACCCCCTTGCCCCCCCCCCTCGCTACGCCACTGCTCTTCAGACGGGGACAATAAACGCCATAATGCCACGAATTCTAAACCAGATTTTGTGACGTAGCACAGACCGGTTGCCTTGGCAACGGACTCGGCTTTAACCACTAAGCTTTTAACTTTACGCCGAGTTTGGGATAGCGTTGACCAATCAGAGCGAAGCTAAAACGAAGCGGCTTTCTGCGGACGATTTCGCTGTTACATCGAAGGCAGGAGCACATTATATCCGAATGAAATAATAACTTGATCTCGCAAGAAATCTACGATGATGAAATGCATTTTTTAATGAGTTTGCACAATAAATTAAAAAATATGGATGAAACTCGTAAAGCGAAAGTTAGCTGAGGATCATGCACGTTGTGTATGATCCTGTAGATGATTGATCCCATTTATTATTTTTAATTTTATTATGAAAATTCTTTAAAAAATGCATGCTTGCAAAAAATTTTACTTTTTCTGTGTAAATTATTATTACTTTCTTTCTGCTTATTATTTTTGTATAAATTATTACTATCATTTTCTTCCTGTTAATTATTTTTGTATTTAAGAATAAATTTATTGAAAAAGCTGGAAATATTGTATTGCTATTTGCTTCAAATGATTTTCTTCCCAAAAAAACTTCATGAATTAATTTTACTAAAACATCAAATGAATATCAAGAATCTGCTGGGTTTTTTTTTTGGGGGGGGGGACAGTAAAAATATTATTTTTAAAAAAAAGAAAAAATTATTTTCACTTATTTAAGAATACTCACAATAGTCAATTGAATGGTGTAAGCTTTATATAAGTAATTAAAAAAAAACATCTTTTGAGAAAATGCTCTTATGAAGGAAAAAATGTAATGAAATATCCTTAAAACAACAGTCTAGACAGTAATGTCTCCTGTTGATCTCTGTTTTTTAATTATGTTCTCCATGAAAGGAATTTATTTTTAGTGAAACTGAATAGCACATATAATTCCTAACATGGATTATAATTTAATGAATGGAATTTGTTATTATTATCCACTCTTTATTAATATCATTTGAATGGAAATTTGGACATTAATTTCTCTGGTAGAAATTCCTGAATAAGGTTAGATTATAGTCTGCAGAATTCAAAATATTCTTTTCTATAAAATGTCACTGAAAAATAAACAATAGATCAAAGACTACATTTTTGCGCTGTCCGAAGAGAAATACTCTTATTCAATTATTAAAAGATGGGAAAAGCATGATTTTAATATTCCTACACATAAAATAAGTGACATAATTAATATAAATGGAAAGAAATGTCAAAGTTGACATCTGACTGGGAGAAAGGTAAAAAATGCATACCCAACAAAAGTACATACAGCTCTTATTAAATCTAAAGTCGCATCTCATATTTTAAAGGAAAATCCAGCCCTCACCCCCAAGAGCTATTATAAAATCTTTAATATCTCTGTAGGAACTGTGAACAAAATTATAAAATCTGATTTAAATCTAATAAAAAAATTATGTCCATCGCCTAACACTGAAACATGTTTCTCAGTGCAAGACTATGTGCAGATTGCCGTAAGAAAATTATTTAGCAGGTGAAAAATGGAAATATATAGTTACAGTTGATGAGGCTTGACTATACTTATCTGACTGCAATAGAAAAAGATCGATTTACAACAGAAAAAGACTTAATATGTTGGTTCAGAGAAACAAAAGGAAAATTTTTTAAAGGTTTTATGGTTATTACTGGATTCTCTTATAACAGAAAACTTAAAATAAGAAAAGTAGAAAAAATGTCAAAATTAATTGGGATTACTATCAGAAAAATGTTTTAACACTTATTTAAAAAAAAAAAAAAATTCCATCTCTTTATCCAAACATCTTCACCATGTCAAATTTCATCGGAATAAGGCTCCATGCTATACCTTTAAATCTAATGCTCTATTTTTTGAAAAAATGAAACCAAAATTGAAGCTATTCCCTTTAAATACATCCCACTCAAGTTCCCTGATGTGTCTTTTATCTATTACTATGCATATGGGCTTTTAAAAGAAGCTCTTTATAAGCAGCATCCCAAAACATTGGTGGACTTCGGAAGATTGTGAAGGAGGAGTGGAATAAAATCAACCTTGATGTTTTAAGAAAAGGACTTTTATATTGGGAATCAAGATATATGACAGTTCAACAAAAGAGCTATTAGACTGAACATATTAGAAAACACAATTCAAAGGTTTGTTTACATATAAATCTTTGCAAAATCATCACAAAAATGTGTGAAAATCCTCTGCAAAGGGCATTTTATGAGTGCGAAAAACCTGAAGAGGGGTGGGGAGAGCTGTTGATATAATGGACTATTTCTTCAGATTTGGGGGAAAAAAAAATTCAGCATGGATGACACAAATCTGTACCTATGTCTACATATTCATTATTTTGATGATGATGCCACTGTGTTAGAAGAGTGCTACCATAAACAGAAGAAAACATGCCATTGCAATGCTACTATCAACAAGTGTTCTGTCATGGCGCTCTCACTTCAATCCAGATAAAAACATATTGCATGAACTAAAAAACAAAACACCATCACCAATAAAATTTTAAAGAAATTCGGAAATTGTGAAAGATGCATGACATTTTATTCCTGAAGAAAACTTCAAAAATTAATCGATTCCATGGCACACAAAATTAGTGTAGTCCTTAAAGATTTTGAACTAAATATTATTAAATTTAAATTATGATATATTAAATATTATCAAAGTTAAGTTTTTGTAATATACAAAGCTTTCTGTTCTCAAAATCAAAGTTTTCCCTTGCCCCTTACAATCTAATAAATTTTGGGGTAAGTTCAGAGAAAAACATTGACACACAAACACAATAAATAATCAGTTACAACTGTTACCAGAATCAATAAATTAATAGTTTTCCAAACAATAGACATTTAACCATGATTTAAAAACGTTGTCAAACAGTCACTCTTAAATTTGTAAAAAAGAAACTGGTTTCGAATTTTTAGAACACAGTTGTGTTAATTGATTCTCAACATATTTTTATTCGAAAGATAGTGGAAGACTCTGTTATATTTCTAACATAAGGAACAGCAACAGCTTTAGTGGAAGAGCCCCCTAGTATAAGTGATATAATGTCAGAAAAATAGTATAATGACGCAGAGTTTTGATTTCCAGAAAACTAATTGTCACAGCTTTTACAATATCTACAAGTAAATATCAATACAGAAATTAAATTGGTAAAGGTGAATTTCATAAAGCTGAAAACGTTCTTTCAAGAACAAAATGTTCAGCTTCAAATAACACAGCAGCAGTTTTTCACGGGAGCACTGTCTTGTGGATGACTTTATGGGATGTTAGTCTGCTTTGTAACAAGAAAACTGGAAGGAAATAAAATGCATGTAAATTTCACTGTAGAACTGTTATGCTTTTTAATTTAAGCAATAGTAAATAATTACTAAAATTTCATTATGTACATAATAAAAATAATATAAATTATTTATGGAGCAACAAGTATATATAAACATCTATACAGACTGCAAGACTAAAAGATAGTATATTCTGAAATATTGTTTGGAATTAAGATACAATGTCAAAAAGACTTTTTTGTTGTTCGACTTCTAAATTAATTGTTTGGAAGCTAAGAAATGATTTTTAAATGCTGTAATAATTTAATTAACTGAAATAACTGAAGCATTAAGTGGTCAAAATGCATATTTCCAGGGAAATTTGACAACTGAAATTTTTCATGATTGCAATATTTTCTTCTTACAAGGAAGTAAAAATTAATGTACTTATGGAAGTTTATTATACTTGGTATGATAGTGCATTCATTGTACTATTGTATATTTTTTACTTACAAGCTGTATTTATGTGAAAACAGAATTTGCAAAGAAGCAAATGCACAATAATGAAAAAGTATGCATCATTACAAATATTTATTCATCACAAATGTTGATACAGCAACACATGACTTACTGCATTAGGAAGAGTTTCCAGATGAGATAATTATGCATTCTCATAAAAGGGAAATAATATGCCAGTATGTTTTTCAACCTATTAAATCATTACATTTTTATCCATAGAAATTTTGTTTAAGCTGACAACACAGCCTTAAATCCTTAGTGCTTTAGCAGTTGGATACTTGAGATAATCCTATTTCAGCTTTAAATCAGCCTAAATAACAAATTTTCGGAAACATTTTTGGACTTCATTACTTAAGAGTTTCAATCCAACCAATGTGCTAAGAACACAAATGTAGTATGTTTCACATCATTCAACATTACTGCTGCACTAAGCATATGTACAAAATTATAATATATTTTCACTAATCTGCTTTGGATATAAATTAGAAGAAATAACTACAAGCCATTTTGTACTGCAACATAAATTTTGAGACAAAGCATACTCAAATAATGTACAAAATATTATGATGCTTTATAACTATATATTTCCATTTAATTGAGCTAACAAAAAACTAGTGGCTAATAAATCTGTAACCAGCGCCTTTTATTTTATTTTTATTTACTCCTTATTTATTAAGACATTAAAATTGTACCTATCATGTTAAGTCTTATGAGCCAATAGATCTACAAATGATCACCCCAAAATCTTAAATTATGGAGACTAATTTTTGCAATACATCAGATCATTGACCAACATCTCAAAAGATGCAAAGCTTGAGTCATGAATATTTCTTGTTGCATATATTTTAATGTAAATTTTTATAGAATTTTACACTTCTTTTAATAGTTTGCAGAATAAATAATTCAGCTACAGAATACCATAATAACTTGCCAAGAAATTAACAAAGATCAGAGGAGTATTCTATAATTTTATTTATTATTGACTATATATAATTAGTCTATCTTTTAAATATACTCTTTTCTTAATAAGGCTCATGCCTTTTAATTACTGTATCCCCACCATTTTCATTCTAATTTTACTGCACAAAAATCAGGCAAGGAAAGATGCACTGTGTACACTATTTCTAAAGAGGTGACTTAAGCACAACACATTAAAAGGCATACATAAAGACACACTAATATTACTGTGTTATGTTTTCAAAGGACTTACTAATTTCAATATATATATATATATATATTTTTTTTTTTTTTTTTTTTTACACAAAATAATTTCTTATTGCAGATGCATTCTACATCCTTACCATAAATTGGAAGTTTCTAAATAATAAGCTGAAAACCTAGAGGGGGATACACAAGGAAGGGAAACATGCAACTAAACATGGTATTTCTTAAAATTTTTGGAAGAGTAAGAACTTGTTAGTCAGGATGTTCCAAAATGCATTTTGAAAAATGCTTGTAAGTAAAATTACTTAAGAACCTTATCCTAACCAATTACTTTTAATAGTTATGATAGTTAAAATTATTAAATAAAGACTTAACATTTGACAAAGAAGATTTGACTGTCATGCCATTATGCACCCAAGTAGGAAATCATCTCAAATTAATATGAAAATGCTAATAAAATTATATTTTTCTTAATCATTGTTTAGGAAAAATACCAATATTAACTGTCCATACTATCAGCAAACTATTAATATTCAAATTGGGTAAATACAAATTTAGAAAAGTATTATAGTTTAATCACTCCTATTGGATAGATAACAAGCACAAGATCTGACAAAGCACATTAAATTTAGTTTACGTTTAATTTAGACACCAGTTTATATTTCACCACATACAATGCTCATTATGTAAACAATTGACAAGTCTACTCCTGATAAATCACTGATGCAGATTTTGCAAGTCTGAATAATTCAAAATAGCTATTGAAACATTGATGCTAACAGAAAAGTGCACTGATGCTATAGAAAATTTTCAGTTTAAAGAATTAATATGTGAGGAAACTATTGACAAATATATGAAACTTTCTTGCAATAGGAGAGAAAAACTACGTATTAATACTGATTAATAACAAATTATGAGTATTCTTCCTAATGCAGCATACTATATGCTTATCATTCATATTTTTGAATTACTTATCTTGTATAACCTTTTCATTCACATAAATACCAACAATTATAATACAAGGTTTTGTATCAAAAATGTAAATTATACACAAAATTCAATGAAAATCTATTTTTAATCAAATAAAAATAGCAAATATTGAAAAGTAGCACATACAAATAATATGCCTTTTTCCCATGAATGGCAAAATGAGCATCAATCTAATCTCAATAAAGCTTTCACTAATGCACTCTTCAAAACAAAAATAAATAACTGAAAGATAGTTATGAGAAAAACTTAACATTAAAGATAAGAATAAAAAAGGATTTAAGAAGTCACCAATGAAGATTTTAATGAAATAATAAAAACACAACTTTACAAAAAAAGGCACACTATAAAATAGTGAATCTTCTCAAATTCATTTAAACTCTAGATTTTTCAATAGTCCTTTCTTTCATTTCAACATTACTTTTATTTGCACACCAAAACAATTAAGAAATATGCTAAATAATTAGCATATAAAATATATACAGCTGAATTACATTTTTAATAAAAGAATAATATATAATAAAGACTATATCAGACTTCAAAGACATTTTCTATTATATTAATTGCACAGCAATTCCATATCACACATTTGTACTATAAAAAGTTATATAAAGACTTCGATTTAGCAAGTGTGTATCACAGATTCTAATACTTAGGGTGAAGTTCAAAATCACATTACTTTACAATATATAAAACACTAATTCAAATAATCATCTAAAAAGCATAAATTACTTGAACAATGTATGTGCAGCCACAACCCTATGTTAGCTATGTATAACAAGCAAAGAAACAGGCAAATACACCATATACAAACACAGTTTTCCTCTTGTTTTAATCTTTTTTGGCATAGCACATATTTTCAAAAATCTCAGTTACTATACAACTATTTTGTTATTAAAAATCTTAGAAGTGAAAATTTACTTTACAAGCTTACTCCTATTTTTTAGATATGTTTAATATGTTTTAATTCACAGTAATTTCAGAAATGGTTATGACATTGCTAGAGCCAATTCTACATTAGATATGTTTTAATATAATGAAAATTTCATATATGTAATTCGCTTGAGATTTAAACTAAGTCATATAAATTATTTTGAAAGTTTTTTAAACTTGGTTTTGAAAAATATTAAGTTAAATTACAAAAATCTACTTCACAAGCTGTAAATGTATGGTTTAAATAAATACAATTTTCAAACTTGCAAAAGAGAAGGTTAAAAACTATTTTAATTTGTTTAGTAGTTACAGATGTATATAGATAAACTACATATAAAACTGTTAATTAAAAAGCAGATTTGGGAGAAATCAGCAGATTTGGGAGAAATCAGGAAGGAAAGAATCCCTATCAATAAAATTTAACTATTTTAGTTTTAAAACTAAAACTAAAAATAAGGAATTAACAAAGAAAAACGTAACAAATGTTATTTTCCTGTAATAATAATGATAAACTACTTCACATGTTCATTTAATAGCAGAACTACTGACATATTTCTATAAAGGCTAAAACATAACAGTAACACACAACAAAATATAATATTTAATAATAAAAGTGCTCCATTAACATATTGGTTCCTTTACAAAACCTTTAATCTTAGCTTTGATTTATTTTGAAATATTTATTCGGTTGAAACAATCAAGAAATTATAAATAGCATGTGAAATAGATGTATAAAATGCAAAATCCAAATGCATTTTTGTATTCCATAAATATTTCATATATTAGCAGAGCAGAAAATTTCTAATATGATATTACAATACCTCCTAAATACAAACATATATAATAAGGCAATTCTACAGGTCTTCATTTCTTGCCTATTTAGCATAGCTATTAATAAAAAATCAATTTAAATACTTGAAACTCACAACAACAAACTTTTTGATTATGTATTAAAATGAAAAAAAATGTTTACTCCATTAATAAAAATTCTTGTTGGCTATGATTAAATAGAGAAATTTTTCCTTTATTTCATTAACTTAATTATATAGCTATGAAAATTACTAGAAAAAGCCATGATTTTTCAAAAATATATTGTCCTTCAATGGCTGCTCAAGAGTTATGAACCAAAATTATGCCATCGCCGATTATTTGAAGCTCAAATGTAAACTTTGCTATAGTTCAAGATTAGTCTGGAAGACATGTTTTAGAAAAACTTTAATATGCCAATTAAATGTGCAAAAGAACCACCACTTGAAGCTAAAACAGATAATATAAATAGCATTTAGGCAGAAAATATATCAAGACTACTAATTTTTTAAATGAACATTTTCATGTTAACTAATCAAAATAAAATATTATTTTAAAGTATATTTTTGTGAATCTATTATTACATCATTACTATTAAAAGCTGTACCTTTAATAAAACTCTTTCATAAAAATATAATAAAGCTTCTTCCTTAAATTACAAAAAAAAAAAAGGTTTGAAAATTGATTTTTTTAAGAATTGTTTACAATATTAAGAATTTCTAGCAACGGCAGGATAATTTACAACCCAAGTATGAAAGATAATCTTTAAACATCTTAGCATTTGCAAACCAACAACAAACCATATCTCCCAGTTACTTTTTATAACTTCAGTTAAAATTTAGCTAGAAAAATAATAATACATGTACAGACATGCTCTAAATTCAGAAGTCAAGAAATGCTTATTATATTTTATCTGTTAAACATGTTACATATGTTACCAGTCCCACAAATTTCTTTGCATTTTGGAAATAACTCATGACAAGAGTATAATGTAACAAGAAGAGAATTAGATTTCTCCTAAAAAATATTTTAAAAATTCTTATACACAAAAATTTAAACTATTTCAACATTGAAAAATTACAGCTAAAAACATTTTACACAAAACAATGAAGAAAGTTACACATTTTTTCTAACTTTTCAATACTATAAACAGAGAAGTATAGGAAAAATTATGCTTCAAGATTTAATATTTTAGGAAAATTACATAAGTAATAAAATTTTCAGTACTTTTACCTACTTCTGGAAGACACCAGCACTCTTTTGTAACTTGATTACTGTGAATATTACTTGAATTTAACCTCTCATAACAAAACCCACGAATGGGCAGATTGTCTCAAAGGATATTCAGTAAAATGTAACAAAATAAAACAAACTGCTGCTTTGAGCTTATTTTAAAATATTACAAACATCAACAAAAGATTTTTTTTTTTTTTTTTTTTTTTTTTTTTTTTTTTTTTTTTCCTGCAGCATTTCTTCCGAAGAGAATTTTTAATCATCTGGGTAAATCTTCTAGGGGATGTAGAGATTTACAATAATTAATTTATCACGCTTAGTTTTACACAGAGAGGAAAAAAAAAAAAAAAGAATTATGACTAGAGCAGAATATGTATCATAATCTTCACTAATAGTGAATTACAACTAGCAATCAATAGTGAACTATATCCTGCCAGTACAATCTACTTTATTAGCATTCAGTTATAAATCTACCTTTCATAGAAAAACTGCATTGAAGCAATCACAGGCTCAATTACAAAAACTGCTTTTTTTCGGGAAGGGGGGGAGTAAAAATGAGCAAAATATAAGCTCTTTATGCTGTAGTCATCAAGGATGGGATATTACTTTATTTTTGTCAAAAAAAAGCTTATACTATACATATATATATATATATATATATACACAGTTGATTTAAAAATGAAACAAAATTATTATACTAAATGCAGTGGTTTAATTGATATCAGAAAATAATGAAAGCAATACAGGATCATTTTCCATTTATGTTAAAACAAATATTTACAATTTCTATGACAAAATGTTGTTTATAAGACATTGAGCACTAGATTTAGATTATATCAAACATGAAAGTAAGCTAGTTTAGCACCTTTGGCCTTCTGCAAAATTTCTCACCTGTAATCACAAATGATAGCCATAATTCTTTAAATATTTAAGTCATCAAATGAGATATGACAATGCATATAATTGGTCAATTTTTGTAATCATGAAATAAATGTTATCTCACCTTCCAAAAATAGATTCCCATTTGTTAATTTTATTACACTGCTATGTGCTTTTTATTACACTACATGTGAAGACATAACAGTTACATCTAAAGACAAATAATTCTCCAAACCTTTCATAATGATATCCGCACTGAACGTAAAAATTGTCTAATATGAACCAACCAGTAATGCACTGACATAACAGATATGATGAGGTAAAGTTTCACTCAAAAAAAGTCATGAACATTTGGTATTAAAATTTAGGTGAGAAATGCCCCATTCGTGAACATAACTACAATAAAAGGGGGGGAACCACTGATAAATATATTGTGCTCATTGCATTAAAAACTGTTCAAACAATTTAATGGTAGCTATATTTATGCTTCACTGTTATTAAAATTATACGTAAAACGGCAACCTTATACTTCCTTTCAATAATCTGATAAAGTTCTTCAGTATAAGGAACTAAAATTGCTTGAGGCACTACATTTAAATTACAATCTTGAGAATAAACATAAAAAGTACCATCATTCTGACATGCAAATCAATGATTTAAGATGTGTATAGTGGCGAAAGACCAATCAAACCATGTGGTAGCTGGTTCACAGCGAAATGTCTCGAATGGCAGCAGTCAAATATAATAGGACATATATCTAGAACACTTATAATTTTTTAAAAATTATGAAAAATTTCTAATAAGGTGACATTCTACTCTTATAAATCATCTACAATACTATGCGAATCTTGGAAAAGTCTAGATGCAATTTAGCTGTTTCTGGGCCAGCCCATACACAACCCTCTACATATCCTAAAAATGCCCCCAGTAAAACATTACCAAAATAACGCCTTCCAAGACATTCTCGAAAAGCATGTACACATATACCAAAGAATTAAAATTGGATGTAGGAGATACATGTGAGGAATTGAAGCTATCAGTATATGTCAGTAGGACATGCTCTGGGGATATAACCAGATGTAATTTTGAAAATTATTTCCTGTTTAAACAATTTAAAGGTAGTTATATTTATGCTGTACTGTTATTAAAATTATAAGTAAAAACAACTTTATACTTCTTTTCAATAATCTGATAAAGTTCTTCAGTATTAGGAACTAAAATTGCTTGAAGCACTACATTTAAATTACAATCTTGAGAACAAATATAAAAAAAGTATAATCATTCTGACATGCAAATAGATGATTTAAGATGTGTAATGGCAAAAAACCAATCAAACTGTGTGGTGGCTGGTTCACAGCAAAATGTCTCTCAGGACAGCAATCAAGTATAATAGGACATGTATGTAGAACACAGTTATAATTTTTTTTAATTATGAAAAATTTCTAATAAACTGACATTCTGCTCTTATAAATCATCTACAATACTACCCGAATCTCGGAAAAAGTCTAGATACCATGTAGCTGTTTCTGGGCCAGCCCATATATAATCCATAATGCAATACTCTACATATCCTAAAAATGCTCCCAATAAAACATCGCCAAAATAATGCCTTCCAAGACATATTCTCGAAAAGCATGTACACATACACCAAAGAATTAAAACTGGATGTAGGAGATACATGTGAGGACTTGAAGCTATCAATATATAAGTCAGTAGTACAGCTCTGGACGTATGACCAGATGGACAGGACATCTTGTCAACAGATAATGTGAGAAACATATCACCTTCTTCATTATTAGCTGGCCTCTTTCTTGATATACTTGCTTTTAAAATAGCTACAAATACGATATCCAAGATCAGGGCTGAAAATAAACATAAATACCTCACATTGTTTCAGAAAATATATAATACAATAATTTATAACTTTATATATTATACAATATTAAAAATTGATTAAATATGTATAAAAATATCTCAGAAATTCATTCAGATGATCTTAAATTTCTACTTTTATTCATAAGAATAGACTACTTTATATCTTTAACAAACAGCACAGTAATAAGAAAGAAAAAATGCTTTTCATTTAAAATTCTTAGCTGTTGTATTTAATTTTAGCCCTCAAGAATAATTTAATTTGGTATCTTTAAAATTACATATTCAACTCAATTCTGTAATAAAACAGTATCCAGATTACTGTTAAATTTTCTAAAAATATATGCAGTATTATGCAGAAAATTTTTTAAAAAATGTTTTCCTGCAAGTCAAAGTAAATTTATTTGATATTGTTTCATTCTCAAAATATTACAGAATTTTTCCCAACACAAAAGTGCAGAATTACAGAGTGCAGTGTAATGAAATATATGTTTCAAAACATTTGCAAGCTTAGATTTACATATGAATACAAAATTATTTTATATTGATATATAATAATTCATTAAACCTAAAGAACATTATGAATACTTAACATACATTGCACATTTCTAACTTTTCTGAGAATCTTTCTCCACCCCCTTAAAAAACTACAATAATAAATCTTGACTTCAAGCATTTTTGAGAGATCTTTCACAATGATGACATTTGAGTTAGATCAGAAGCAGCATTTTAAATTCATTCTCTAATGATTCAGAAATATTTTTCAATATAATGACAAAAAAAAAGATACTTTTCTCATTTTTAAATTTAACTTTTGCTAAAATTTTTGCCACTGACTGCTTGTTCTTAATTTTCTACTTTTTTAATGGTGATAAAATCAATTGAACTGAAATGTGAATTCAAGCTTGCAAGCAAAATTAAGAGTATAGAAATTTAAATAAGATGTACAAGTAACACACATGGATTCAACAATACACTTTCTAGATGTAAATGGCAAAATAAGAGAGTCACCATATTGCCATTTAATAGACTTAATTCTTGCTGGATGTAAACCCCCCCCCTTTAAGATCCTAACATTTTTACTGCAGGTTTCAGTATTTTTTTTACTACAAGTCAGTAACAAATAAAAGAGTTAGAGGATAAAATTTTTATCTATATTTCTACAAAATTCACTGTTAACCAAGTTTTAAATTCAGGGATAGTCCACTGAAGCCTCATTCATGTAATTCTTAAGTTTTGAGAGAAACTGCAATCCCAAATAAAATAAGCTGTAGCATTTTAATTTAATATTTAACTACTTGTCATGAATTGAACTTTTATCTCTAAAATTTAATTAACTATTCATTAATTTATTTTTGTTCAGCTTTCCAGATGAACATTCATATGAATCTAGCAATTCTAAATTTTTAAAATCATCCCTCTTATTAATAATATAGTTCCAAAATGTCAAACAGTAAAAAATTATCATAGACCTTTTACTGTTTTATTTTTGATGTTATAAAAGCTTAAAAATTCTTTCCATTGTTTACACATTTTGTTTAATATTCTGACTTTAAATACAGATTCTCATCACTTTATGAAAGTAGAGTACTATAAAGACTTTCAAAAAGCCTAAGAAGAGAGCTCTCCTCTAGGCTTTCTTCATCGTTATGAAATTTGTAGCTGCCATTTTTATAACATCTGCAGACATGTTCATTCATGATTCTTGCAATGCTCCACACATCAGGTTTTATACTAAATTATTTTTAGAATTATTGTATATCTTAACTGTTGTGCTGGTTTTTAAAAACTTACTCTATATTGACATTTCAGTACACAAAAAATTCAGATATTGATTGGCTGATGGATATAGAGTATCGAAAAAAGAATAAAACAGAAATATTATCACGTACTAAAGCTGTAATTTTGGTAAGATTAACATTAATAGATTGAACAAAATAACAGGCTGGATCAAATCAGTCATTCAGTAAGAAAAAGCATAATTCACAATACACACCAAGCTTAAGCAAATCAGAACATAACAACCCAAATAAATATATTTTCAGGTTTCATTTATTGTTAACTCTTTGCGGCTCAGTGTTCCACTACATGGAACACCCAAATTGAATCGCTTCTGAAACCTTTAAATTCAACCATAAATAGATAAAAATGCCTTTATAATATACTTTGAACTTTTCTTTTTAAACAGTAGATAGCAGCATATCACAAGGAGACACATAATTTTCATTTATTATGTGTTATTAAAATCCACTTTTTTTCAAGTAATTTTCTCTACTTTTTTAATGATATAAAAAATTTTATTTGGAAAAAAATTTAGGCATAATTTTGCTGGCTGTACTCCAAATTATTTGTTCTATATTTTTTTTTTTAATCTCTCATACGAAAACCATACGCAGAATCATTGAATGAAACTGGGTGTTCCATTAGCGGGAACACTGCACCTTTAGCGATCTCGTGCTGTTACGAATCAGAACATCTGTGCTTAGGAGAGAACATCCGTTGTTTACGTTTTCTGTTTCCGCTGTTTTGGGGAGGGAATGAATTCAAACAAAGCAGTATTGAGGGGTGAGGTGTGTTTTGTGTTATGAAAGCCCTAATATTGGCATCTCGAATTTTTTGGGAATAGTTTTTAGGCAGGAATTTTATTAGTAGCTTGACTCATCTTTAATTAGACCTGCGTGAATTTTTTGCTGTCGCATTTTAGTCTCATTCCTGTTTATTTTCAATAATTGTGTAGATATTTTTTGGTATATGTATATATTATAGGCTTATTTTTCTTTATTGTTAATATTAATCGTACTTAATTTTTTTATTATTAATTTTCCATAAACGGCGCGGAGAGGTTTAACTCTTTCCAAAAATTTGTAAATATTTTTGTATATAGGACTCGTGTATATAGATACAGTCAAAAGTCGTTAATTCGGACACCCATAATCCGGAATGATCTATAATCCGGACCTCAAAGCTAAAAACTTTCTGCGCATGCGCCGCGTTGACACATGCGCATGGGCGTTTACGCATGCGCGTAAGACCTCTTACGACTGCGCATTTGCGTGTGCGCAAGCGCAGAATACATTTTCGTGTGCGCGTTTTATGTATAACAAACGGTATAAGCTAAATTATCTAATTATTTCAGTTAATGTTGATGATTGTGTTGTTCCTTAATTTTCGAATTGGATCCGGCTTATTATTTTTTGCAGACTGTAAGAGCAATACTATAAAAGTAAACTTGAACTTTCGATTATGTCAAATAGAATTTCCGAATCTGGAGCTCCCAAAGGATCGTACAAAACGAAAGTATGTTTCGATGTCCATCCAACAAAAAGTGGAATTGCTGCAAAAAATGGATAAAGACATGAAGAATGTGACAGAGAGGTTAGTGAAAACGAAAAAATTTCGATTGACAAGTTAGTCGCTATACTCGGCACAGCAATTAACGGGACTTGAACAGCGGAACTTTGTAACTGAACAAAAAATTATGTCTGTTTATAGAATTAAAGAGAAAGTATTATCACATAAAACGAAGCAATTTAAACAACTTACATTGAAAGAAATGTTTAATAAAGTAAACAAATAAATATTAAGCTTTTTTTTTTGTAAATTTTGATACCCTTTAGATCATAATTGTTCTTTATTTCATAAATTACGGTTTCATATTTTTAATTTTAGAATTTCTGCATGCCATCTTACGCGATTTAAACTGATGATCTATAATCCGGAAAAATCACTAATCTGGAATCGCCGAAGTCCCGACGAGTCTGGATTAACGACTTTTGACTGTATTTATCTCATTTAACTGTATATATTCAAGAATATTGTGTATATCCAGGAAACCATATATACAGCCATAATACAGAGTTTTTTCATTCTTATACAAACGCTTCTACTCATTTTTGTGCTTCACTGCAATGCTCGCTTAGTCGCACTTTTAAAACCTCTGGCGGCACAGTGTTCCACCTCATGGAACACCCACAGAATTAAAACGGTAAGTGCAATTTTTACAAAATTTTACCTGTATGCTCCTTTAGGACTAAATTGACTGCATACAACTTTTTTTGTTGAAATTCCGACGTTAACATAAAGGGTTAAGGTTAGATAGCAAAATGCTATCCCCTGATAACCACTCGAAAGGCTGAACGCACATTCATAACTAATGTCAATAAATGTATTTTCATTGGCAGAGTAATTCCCTAATCAGGCTGAGGTTTAAAAGTCGCACATAGGAATGTCAGTTGCGAGAAAAATATCTTTTACGACACACCTTTTTCTTGAATACTATATGCTTCAATCTTTTGTAGAAGCGGCGGAGGGGGGGGAGTCTTGATATCACATCATTCTGAATACTGTATATCTAGATTTCAGAATTGGTACTATATTAATTAATCAAATATTGGTTGAACCTTCATAAAAAGTTCTACATATCTCAACAGTAGATTAAGAAAATCCGAAATAAAATTTAATCAGAAAAACTATGCTGTTTGGAGGAAACAGAACAAGCTTAATTAATTAAAAAAAAATTTTCATAGGAAAGGCTGCAAATGGAAGATTTGGTGATCTATGAGGAGACCAGGAGATGTGATAAGAAACTTGGAAAGACAGAAACTATAGGATTTTCTTCACTGGAAACTTTTAATCATAATTGTTTTCTCATACTTGACAGCAACAATGTGATACTAACATCATGTCTCTTTTCACTCTCAAGAACCTGAAAATCATTCTAGTGTTACAGTGTGCTGAGTGCAACAATAAATATCTGCAGAGGCCTGGTTAGACTCCACTGTATGATGAATTAACACACATAGAGATGGTTGATTTTAAATAATAAAAATTTAATTACAACAATTACCCCATAACTACTCATTACATTAGCACTAAAAACATTTACATCGGATGATAAAATGCAACCGAGCGTGACGGCGACAGAGCATGAAGCGATTTTAGCGTGTCTTGAAAATCTCCGTTACAATTACAACTAGAGATACGAACACGTGGTTGCTGATTTATAAAAACAAGTTCCTTTAGTATCGCCACACTAGGATACATTCACCCATGCTGCAATAATGCCTGCATGTTTAGTGGCATTGGTTAACACAAGTTTCGTTAACAATACACTCTTACTTGAAATCAAAAAAGAAGATTTTTCAAGTTTATTATATCATTCAGAATTTCCTTCAACAATATACACAACTTGCTCAAATGCAATTGTCAAGAATGGCTGAACCCATTGATCACTTAAACAACTCGTCACCAAAAATGTTGCACGGGTATGCCAAGAACATATAACAGGAATTTGCAGGCGCAGACACCAATACTGCACCTGCAAGAAAGCACAGCACACCTGTATAACAGACAAGCTGGTTCTTATCAGTTACAGGGACTACGGGTTGGTGACTGTTTTTCAAGTTGTTGCAAACAAGAACGCAAACACATTGACAATAAATGTGATAAAAATCTGAATTATAATGGGAGTTGATCACCTTTTACTTAATAAAAAATATTGTGCGATAATAAAATTCTGATGACCATAACTCAATTATTGGTGCCAAAAACTCTTTAATGGACAAAAATACTGTAGCAATAAAATGTCCTTCTGTTGAAAGTGTGTGTGTGTGTATAACTTTCAACAGAAGCTTTAAATTTCCTTCTGTTGAAAGTTACAATGTCCTCTTTGGTCATCAGCAACTGCAGATTTTTATCATTGCAACAAAATGGTAGAAATACATCTAGCTTGCAGTATAACACAAATAGTGATTATAACACAAATAGTGAGAATTAACAGTGATTTACGCCAGAATTTGCCATGATGTCTATGCCATGTTTGGCTTCATGGTTCCTGTAACTGAAAAGAACTGCCAAGGCTCACAGAGGAGTCAAACCCACATCAATAGTTTGACTGTATGTCAGCTTCTATTAACCGAAAAACAGATCTACCAATAAATAACACACAGAAAAAAAGAACAAAAATGCTGCTTTAAAAAATATATATATATTTAAGAAAATAGTTACATATTTGTTATTTTATTTGCTGCCAATTTACATTACAGCTCCCAACACTGTATATTTCTTCCCTTCAATAGCATATTCAAGCCATTTATAGGCGCTGGTTATTACTAAGGCCAGAAGAGATGGTCTCTTTTATTATGGAGGCACCTAACAGGTAAGCCATCATTGCCTCTTATGAAGGGATGGATAAATTACATTAATGCCTTCTCTGAGATTCGAACCCATGCTCTTTAGTACAGTAGTCAGAGTCACTAACCACTTTCCCATCTAGGTGGGTTACAATTAATGTAAACTTGGTCTTATTTACCTAATTATCAAAGTTTTAAAATCTTGGCAACTAAAAATTTTAAAAATACTTCCTAAAGCTCTATTTATAAACAATATATTTACTTCTACCACTTTGAAAAATTAAAATCCGAATGCTAATTCAAACATTAAAAAAAAAAAAAAAAGAATAATGCACAAATATTAAGAGAATTGTAAGAACTATAGATACCAAATATTTTCAGTCACTGACTAATGAATAGTACAAATTTACTTTTAATTTGTTTAAAGCCTTATAAATACAGAGGTTGTTAAATATATTTTTAAGATGATTTTCATTGTACTTACAGAAGCATTTTACCTAAACATTTTGTGTTTTAAATGTTCCATTTCATAACACTTATTTTTATTATTTTTTTCCCTACACCATAATTTCCATGACAATAAAGAGCTTTTTTTAGTATCGGAAGAGGTGTTTTATCCCTTTAACAGCTTTCTAAAGTCCAAGGAGGGTTGTACATTGATGTTTGAACATCTGCTTTTTAAAAGTCCAAAAGCACAAAAATCCAATAATGATACATCAATAGATTTAGTAGGGATATGAGTGAGCCTTGATATACATTTTTAGTTCCATTTTTTTCCCAGGAAGTTAAAAATGGATTTTGACAGTGACTGTTTGCTTTGTCTTGAATGCAGTTCTGATTGATGGCACTGTGGGTAAAAATTTAGTGTAAAATATGTTCCTGATTATATGTGGAATTGAACTTAACAGTTTTCTGCACTCTCTTTAACATTTATTTGCCATTATATCAAAAACCAAACACAATCATTAATGCCTTCAAAAAACTTTCTTTAGATTTTTTTAACCATGTTTTAAGATTTTTTCCCTCTCCTTGATGATACTAAATACATCTCTTTTTATTGTGGTCATTTAAATATATCAAAGATTCATCCATTGTGACAACATTTTTCTATTTTTGTCTGAATAATTGTTTCTCTAGAGAATTCTGCAGCACGTTCTGCTTTCGGTGGTATGTCGTGGAGAAAGACAATGCAGATTATGTTTTTCACCTTTTTTAAGATTCAAATCAGCTATAATTATTTTGTTTCTCAGTTGACACTGAGACCCAGTTCAGAAAATTCTCAGTTGACAGAGAATTTTAAGGATTATGCAACTGTCCTTTGACTCGGCTAATTTTCTTTTAACATTAAAGTTCTTGGCTCTGCAACATTCAAAGCATTATGTTTTTTCCTTAGCTATTTATTTTGAACAATTTTTCTACTTGGAGCCAAACTCTCATATTTTTCCCCCCTTTCTTATTGACAATATTATCTATTGTTGCTTTTGATAACAAAAAATCATGGCTTTCACAGCATTTTCTAATAAATAGATACAAATAATTTTCTTTGCAAAGAGCACAAACATAGCCTGCCATCCATTGATTCTTAAAAACCACCATTTTGCATGAAAATAAAATTATCAAGTAGCAGAAGATAATTTACACTTTCAAAAATATAGCTGTAGTTAAAAAAAAAATCCCACACAGGCAATGTTTTTTATAGAAAGCAAAGTCGTTTAAAAGATGTACAAACAGCCTCTGTATAAATAAATATTTATTTTTTCAGTATAAATAAATATTTATTTCTCAATTTTTTCAGATTATATACAATCAAGTCATGAACTAGCTGGTAAGACTAGAAATGTTAACTTGATTCTATTTATATCTATTTCAATAATGTAACCAGTACTGCCTATTTTTTAAAATTCTTCTTTTACCATATAAGACATAGTTCTTCCCCCCCTCCCCCCCCATGTATAGAGTGATCTATTTTCAGTGAAAAAAAATTCAGACAATTGGACAAACTCAGAATTGCATATGACCTCAGAACTAAAATCCTAAAATGAGTGGAGAAAAGAGCTGCACATAATGCTCTATGCATTCAGAAAGGCAAGTCCAAGATTTCACCACAGACTACAGTGACTAATATGCTGAAATTACAATAGGAGGGAGCATAATCTGCAATCATAATGGCAAAAATATTCAGAAAAAAGGAAAGCCATCTGAGGGAATGCTTTCAAAATATTTGACTTGCCACACATACTTTTTGCCAACATCAGCTTGCCTCAAATACTTTTCATGCATTTCTTCATTAATACAGCTTTTCGGAGAGAGTATGGAAAATTGGAAAGTACAAAAATATTAACTAAATTTCAACATAAACAAATAATAAATTCTGAAATTGATTAATTAATGATTAACTTATATTTACCTAAAATTAAGTTGAAGAAAAATGCTTCTTTTTTGGGATCTTCACAAAACCAGAGGCAAATTATGCTACCACTAATCCAAAATGCACCATGACAAGAATATTCCAATGCTTTCATGTGAGGCCGATAATGACCAAATGGAGAGTTTTTGGAAGCTGCAACACTCATGGACAAACTTATGCTTTTATCCAGTTCTACAAGGTATGGTAGAATGCTATCTTCTTTTTTGGCCATCTTTGAATTTTCTATTAGAATCTATAAGAAGTAGTTTTAGAAGTATATACATGAGTATACACCATAAAAAGAGATATTAAAATATTAAATTGAAATTAGTATCAAAAAAATTTACAACTGCAGTCCATCTATTTATTAAATTTATCATTTTTCTTCCCTTTCTCACTAAAAATTCATAATCATCAGGTTAAACCAATTTTATAACAAAAACTGTAGGAATTAAATTGCTGCTAATTCAATGAAATTAATTGAAGCTATAGCTAAAAAAATTAATAAATAAATAATTCCATATGCTTATTTTAATTTTCTAACAGCCGATAGATTAATTCATCTCTTGAACTATCTTCAGAATCATGCATAATTAATACGTACTATTATCATTATTAAAAAATGGTTCGTTATGTTTAGTTTATAAATAACTAAATATTTATTTTATAAACAACTAAATTTATAAATAAAAGCAATTTTTTTTACATTTATCAAATATATTAATTACAAGCTGCGATAGAAGCACAAATTTGGTTCAGTCATTTTTTACAAAATGAAATCACCTTAAACAATAAAGCTAGTGTAACTTATAAACATAACAATTACCAACATTTTGCAGCGATCAAAATATATGCAAGCATTTTTTCAGAGTGAAATTACCGCAAACCGAAGCGATAATTTGTCTGAGTGAAAAGTTGCCGGGTATCAGTTTTAAAGTAGCAAATACTAATAAATATTTCTATTTAACAGCTATACATAAATTTCAAACACAGTATTGCCAATTAAGAATCATGGGTATCATTTAAAAGATTACATGAAGAAATTCAATTACATTTCGATAGTGAAATTTCGACTTGTGGATGAATATTTCACACTTAACGGTAAAACGATAAATCAGCTAGTTAAGTTTCGTTTCAAAATGAGTATGGTCGGCTAATCAAAACATCACGTGCGAAGTTGAAGCCAGTTCGTCTCAAATGAAAGCAAAAATATTTTACATATGTATAGCTAGAACCATGCCTGCGTAAATTAAAAAGAAAAATAATTCATATCTTAATTGTACAATTTTGAATAGAATTCATTTTAAATTGTCAAGAAAGATGTTTAAGTTACATTGATAAAATTTAAAATGGATTAAATATTAATATATACATTTTCGCTTTAAAAATCCACAATAGAGTTCAGCTCTCTATTCAACCACGACATCCCACAAATAACCAACATTTATACTGACGATACTATTATCCTCCGCAAAATGTTCTTCGTCCGGCATTACGAATACTGCAAAATCACATCCACGCATCTGCTTTGTGAGCTGGAAAATTGAAATTAATGCTGAAAAATCCACAACAATTGTTGGAAATGAATACATTTATATCGTTTTATATTTACCTTTTTGGAATGGCAATAAAAATGATATTGTTTACTTAGAATATTCATTCTATCTGGCAGTTGAGTTTAAAAAATGGTAATAAAGATGTGAGTCTGTTCTAACTACGTTTTCGTATTCATTGCGTAAAATTAAAAACCGTAGTATTTTAAACCCGGCGAAGTGGATTTTTATTTTATCAGGGCTATTTCGCCACAGCAATAATTTTCCACAAGAAAAATAAAATGACTAGCAACCTTAGCTTGTATAAAACAACATTGTTCTGGGCTATGTGAGTCACTAATCTGAGTGTGATTCTCAACCGTAATATTTCACGGTCTCCTTACATACACTCTGTTATCTAGAAGTTCAGAGCATGTAAAGCAAAACTCTACCTTTTAATTGCCCGTAACAATGTTTTATGTACTGTCAACAAATTGCTCATGTATAAAATCCTCTTGCGTTCTCATACTATGTTAAATCTGCCCAGTCTGAGCATAACTTCTGCTGCACGAATCACAAATAGTTGCAAATGGCTCAGAACTGCAGCCTGAGACAAATATCTGGTTGCAGATAAATAGAAACAACAATAAAAGAAATAACAATAAAATTCCCGAAGTATAGAATGTCATCCAGTTAGTATGTGCCTACTATCATTTTATGGCATACAATTTTGATTTAAAGCTTAGGAAAAATAACAATAATATTATCCCAATATATAACTATAACTAGTGCTTTGCAGAAAATGTGAAGAGACTTATGCTTTTCTTAATAACCTAGTGTAGATACTATGTCACTTATATAATTGTTCGATATTTATCTTTCTGTATTCATGCATTTTTCGGTTAGCTATCTAATCCATTTGCCTTATAGTTTTTTCAATGTCATGTTATTCATTCTTCAAGAGCATCCTGTAGGTGTGGATTTTCAAAATAAATTCGCTTCGAACTCATAAACTATGCCGCTTCGAACTCTCATAGCAACTCTCATAGCTCTCATAAGAACTCTCATAGCAGAGAACTAATTTTGAAATTTAGTGTTGTGTACTTAAATTACTTTAACCTGTAAATAATTATAAGTTTTACAGTCACTTTTCACAGAATTTGGAACAAGTGCTCTGATGATTACACCATCCAAGGCATGAAATGAGCAGCGCAATTGGCTTATTATTGCTAAAACTCTACCTGCGAACAATTGTTGCAAATGCTGACGACTTGTTTTCCTGCAGTATATGAGTGTATGTTTCGGAAATCGCGTATAACATAAAAGATAATACGCATTGCTTTGTGCATCATTTTATTTCAAAAGATTCCAGAATCTCGGAACTAAATTTCCACAAATTTCCGAATCTAAAGTTTAGGCTTAAAAAGTCTTCCTTTAAAACTAACGTTCTTCTTAGCCCCGAAGGAGTAAATAGATTAGATTACTACGGATATCACAATCGGTTTCACTAAGAATGTGTGTGCGTTCCAAGCACTTCATTCTTGGTGATTTTATTTGCTACCAGGATCTTTGGGCATATGATGCATGCCCATAAATTTGAAATTCTGATTAAAAATATTATTTTTAACTGAATCGTATAGTAAATTCCTTATTTAAATACTTTAAACATGCAACTTTGCATTGAATCGCCTATTTTATTTAGAATCAGAAATTTAAGTTTGGTGAATATGTGCATTTTGTAGTGATCTCGAAGTGGTATGTTGGCCTGGTGCTGCTCGGTATGTAGTCGCTTGCTGGTATCGTTGTCTGTTAAAATCCATGAGAAATGCAGTGGATGAATTTTGTACACCCTTGAAGATTATAACGGTTTGGGGATTTGACCCTGGGTCTGTTACGTGATAGTTGAATACCATACCGCTATCGCAAAAGAGATCTTCTGCGACGGCCTCTGATATTCGAACTGCTTTATAGCACGAATGTTTTGATTAGCTCACGAGACCGCTACACACTCTCTCCCCAAGCCCTTATGGACATGGCTGTAAGTTCAGTGCGTTGATGTGACTGAGTTGATTCGTTGACGTGATTGTGATGATGCATTGCATCGATATGCTGAAGCTGCCCTGTGTGGACGTGCTTACTTGGACGCAGTGTTGACATGTGTGTAGCTCTTCGGTTGTGTGTGGAAGCATATGTAAGAGAGCGCCTTCGCCTTGGCGTTTATGCGGTAATTCGTATCCCCAGTGAATGCAAATGCTTGGTCACCACTGTAGCGACCTCTGGATCACTAATCAAAGCGCTAGCACTACAAATCAATACGAATATCAGAATCTGCCCCATAATAGCTCTTTTGAGATACTGGTATGGTATTTTACTGCCACATAAAGAACCAGGATCAAATCCCAAGGTCATTAGTATCTTCGAGAACATGGGGAACTAGTAATAAGAAACTAATGCATTGATGCACTAATGATCAGTGCTAATAGATGGCGAGATGAGCAAGCAGTTATATACAGAGCAGCATACCACCCCGGAATCGCTACAGCAATGACCCGGATAAACTCTTGAGCTGCTGCACTTCATATTACCGGTTTTAAGAAATGCAATTATAAAATGATGCTTTGAATGAATACCTAAATTAACCAGAAGGCTGTTCTCATAAGCAAATGAAATTTCGAAAAATAAAATTTCTCATCTTGCGAAAGACTTCTCGTTGAGCAAAAAGAAATTTGCAAACGAAAACTAACCTCAATAATTAACACTTTTGTTTATTGAAATTTTCCAAAACGTGTTACAATTCATTAAGCACTCAACTTTATTTATAGTTCTTAAACTTAAAATTCTGACTTCGAAATTTATAATGAGGACTAAATCGTTTATGTAACAGACAATCAGGAAGCCAGAAAACCATTTAAAGAGAGGAAATCATAAATACACTGTTTTGCAAAAAAAAAATCGAAGCACCAAAAAGGACTTTTGCGATCTTGACGAAATTTGGTAAGCAAAAACATCTTAATCGAACATGCAAATGATCACAGTTTCAAGGTAAATGAACAGGAATTGCGATCATAGCGCGCATTTCTAGTGTGCAATTCGCAAAGTATAAAACCAGTAACAAAGGCGGAAAATTTATCTTTTTTGTTGCTGCCATTGTAATTCCGTAAATACAGAGCACGATATCGAAGACCTTACAGTCCATTACGACGATATCGAAGACCTTACAGTAACTAAACTAGCTCGAACGTTAATTCGCATTAACGTTTGTAGGGTTGCGTGAAGCTGGGTTGTCGTACCGAGCAATAGGCCGCCACCTCCAGCGTACAGACGATGCTGTGCAAAGATGTTGGCAGCAATAGTTGCTACAAGGAAATTCCTGACGAAATGAAGGGTCTGGAAGGCCAAGCAGCACAAATGCGAGGCAGGATAGGATGATTGTTCGCCAAGCACGAACCGCCCCAGCGGTATTATTTTAGACTATTCAACGCACTACAGCCACGTATATACTTCTCGTGGTACCGTCCACCATCTCACGGCACTTGTTCTGAAGCAGGGTTACGCTCACAGAGGCCTTTAAGACGTTTGCCTTTGACCCCACAACATCGGCGTAGTCGTCTGGAGTAGTGTCGCAGCCGATCATCATATCTGCCATCAGACTGGCATCGCATAGCATTCAGCGATGAATCTCGCTTCACTCCTGAAGCAGATGACCACCGTGTTCGTGTCTGGAGAGGACGGGATCAGCAGTCCCAATCAGCCTTTGTTTTACAAAGGCATGAAGCAATAACCCCTGGGTTGATGGTGTGGGGCGCTATTTCTTATGACAGCAGGTCATCTTTAGTCATTTTCTTAACATCTTAACAGCTCAACGATATGTTGGTACCATCCTGTGACCGGTTGCATTAACCTTCATGGCACGTCATCCTGGGGCCAGTTTACAACAAGATAATGCCAGACCACATACCGCTCGCATATCTCTAGAATGTCTCCGGGAGATTGATACTCTTTCTTAGCCAGCAAGGTCATCAGACCTTTCAACAATCGAGCATGTCTGGAGCATGGTAGGCCGCCATATCAGGGCACCACAAAATATCGTAGATCTGTAGCGATGATTGATAAATGGCTGACAGAATGTGTCGCAGGATGATATTAGAAACCTCTACCACTCCTTGTCTCGACGAATTCAAGCATGCGTTGCCGCCAGGGGCGATTCGACCAACTACTAATTTGAACACTCAATGGGTGATTGGGAGCCATGAACAGGTACTATGACCTTGAGTTTTTAATCATTTTATTATCCGTGTATGAGCTATACACATATTCATCAAAAACAACCACTTCCTTCATGGTGCTTCGATTCTTTTGCAAAAGCGTGTATATAAATAAATTCGGCTCTTTCTTAAAACCAAGATAGGGCGCCGATGTTTGGAGAGTACCAAGGAAGTTGCTGTCAAGAACTACGATCTCCCAATTAGGTGATAGTGCTAAAATTAAAAACATTCCACCCGAAAGCTGAAGTAGCTTTCGATTTTTGAACATTCCGATGGGAAACCTTACTCTCAGTGTGTTTTACTTGAGTCAAATCGACATTTGCTTTCAATATCTTATACCTGAACTGAAATAGGAAAGTATAAAACCACCGGTAGATTCTGAGACTGTGA